CGTAAGCAGTCAAGAACACTATGTTGTAGATGTTGAATACTACAGCAATTTTGAGCAGCAAAACGGCCACATCGCGGTAAAACCACCTGAGTTCTAATTTTGCACAGTATGGGATTCCCCACATTTCGTTTACGGATAGCCAGCCCCAACTGGTAGTAGGGAGCTGAAAGCTTTCCCTGAACAATGCTGTTTTCAGCACCCTTTTGCCTTGACTACAACTAGTCAAAGCGCAAAGCAGTTCAAGGCGCAGCCATCGACCCATCGCTATGCTCCTTGACAGCCGACTGATCATGTCACTTTGATTGGTGGTGAAACATTTGAAATCAGGTTACGCAGCTCAGTGAACAAACCAACGACCAGTTAGGTTATTATCACAAAAGCTCAACACGCAAAACAGGATCCGCAGTTCACGTTTCTGGAATAGTGGAACACACTAAAACAATCAGCAGGACACAGGCCAGTACAGCGCCGACACTGTTAGAGGGCTCGCATATGGCTGCCTATTACTGATTGCTATTGAGCTTGAGAAAGCTAAATGGTTAAGGCGCGAACGTACTAACCGGAAGGATCGGAGTTCGACTACCTCTGTCTAAGGCTTAGCAGCCTGGCAGTCTCAGCCCTTGTGCTTTTTTCGGATTGCATGGAAAATAGGCATCGTGGGGGTGTCACAACTGTACAATTATTGTTATTATATTGGCAGTTCTTTAGCTCCCAAGCTCTCAATCCAGAGGAAGTTACGAAGCGGTTAAATTGACGAAAAGTCAGAAATGCTCCTACGGCCTACTGAACTACACGCCGGCGAAGAAGTTCGGGTGGAGCATGTTTCAACAACCTAACAAATGGACTAAAGGTACAAAGGTGGAGGAAATCGGTTTCGTGCGCACGACGTAGAAGTGGATGGAGTCATTAGGGGGAACCGATGGGTAGTGATGTCAAATGCGTTAGAATATGACGTCGATGAATTTCAGCTAACTGTACGAACCGCTGCTTTTTGAACTGGGGCGCTGGTATGAGCTAACCAAATTCGATTCTGCTATTGGTAAGAGAAAAGGACTGTTTATGAAAGGCTCGCTGATACGCTTCAGGGTCTAACACAAAAAGTCACATCAGAAGGCTGATGGCTACATGGGAGTTACGCTAGATTAGGTCCTTTCCGAATACCAAACGCCCCATTGAATGGATTTTGTTTTGTTCACAGCACTCTGTCCCGCAAGTGAAGTCAGTCCACCACGGAAATTTGAGAAGCATTACGAAGCTAGATCGTCCCGATTTGAAGTCTTCAGCAGTGCGCATTCCGTGAAGTTCCGGGGAGATTCAAACAATAAACTTCCCAGCTGGTAATTGAACACTAGATATTTTGGCCATAAGCAACTGGTCTGTAGTGATTTACTATCACACAACTACAAGTAGTTCACAAGGAAGAGCGATGCACACGAGCCTTCCATATGAGAAATCGTGACCCTAGGAGCCAGTCAACACGTGACCAGCTGGTGAGAATTTCGTGACTGATGGATGAACGACACTTTATCCTGTTCATATGTGAACCAGAACCAGCTCCTCGAATGCCCGCCGGACCGAATGCGTGCGGACGGTACGGTGTCGGATATAAACGGCCACTGGGAAAAAATATCCAACGCGTTACTCAAAGCAGGAGCGTCTGCTTGCCGGAAAACCCAGCCAATCTCATCCAAGCATTGGATCTCTGATGGAACCGTGTCTTTTCTGGAAACCCGGCGACAGATCCCACCTGGTCGCCACCACAACTCCACCAGGCGCATCATCCGACGCCAGGTGAAACTGAGTGTCCGCGCAAACCGAGAAGCTTGGTGGACCCGAAAGGTCGAAGAAATGGAAGATGCAAAGAATGCTGGAAACGTGCGCAAATTGTTCCACTTGATTCGCTCGACTGGTCCTCAGAAACCTCTTGTCAGTGAAACAATTAGGGACCAAAATGGATCCCTGATATGCAGCAAAGCAGAACGTTTGGATCGCTGGGCGCAGTACTTCGAACAACAATTCAGCTGGCCACCTGCTAACCCCAATCCAGAAAACCGGCCTTCAACAGAAAGGTGGACCGTAAAGATGGAGCCGCCTTCAGTCTCAGAAGTGTCCGAATGCAAACGTCATCGTGCTGCTGGTCCTGACGACCTTCCACCTGCTCTTTTCAAGGATGGCGGTGGATTCCTCAGCTAGTGCCTGTCTAGCCTATTTGGGTTTATCTGGGAGAAGGAGACCGTCCCAGACAACTGGGGTGAATCGATAGTGGTACCCATTTTCAAAAAGGGTACTCGCAGTGAA